TGGGAGGGACATTATGAAAAATCCATCGTGTTGGGTAATTGTATCCTTAGGGCAAAATTTGTGTTGTGCAACTGTGACACGTTCAAGTCTGAACAGCTGGTTTGGGTGAGAGGCAGCAGAAATTAATTTCCCGTGCAGCTTTTGTATTAATAATTCACCTCATTAAGGTGTGGTCTAATAGTGTTTGCTCAGGCACAAGAGTCAGCCCTAATACAGTTTTTGACAACCATTTCTTCTACAGGTATCTGTGACTCACGTGTCCCTCTTGCCTCGATTTCTCCATACAAGCTTCGGTTAAGATCTGTAAAACAGGTGGCTACTACTCAGTTACTTCAGAGATATTTTGTAGTCCTTTGCAATAACATGAAGAAAGCATAAAACTCAGCCATCCTGATCATGTTGGATTTATTTCAAGGCAGTATTGAATCAGGGCCAAGAATCAGGTTGAAGGACAAGATTCTGACCCACAGGATTAAGTTCCTTGCAAAAAACTACAGGACGTGGCTAATCTCAGGAGATATTTAACAACCCAAAGACCCAGTAAGGTCTTGTCCTGCTAAGACTTGAGCTATTTTCTTCTTCATACTCTACTGAATAGTGTTATCATAAATTATTATACTAAATAACATTATTGTAAAGGCTACTTTCTTTTGGGTTTTTTCTCCTCATCTCCATTATTCAGATTCTTCCTTTAATACCTGAAGAGACTTCCAGTTGCCAGGGTGCATTTGGAAGATTTTACTGCAAAGCAGCTGATCTCAACTTTCAGTTAACCAACAAATTCCTAAAACACAGTGACATAAAAGGGATGTTAATCCTTGGTGAAATCCACTGATTTGAGTCATGAGTCTGATTAAGATCACATAGGGGAAGTTTTCTCCAGAGACGTGGTTTAGCCCTGTTCTTTTTCATGTGTTTTCTTCTAGTCTAGCAGTGTTTATTCAGTGGGGATTTAATGTATATGTGTGTTACATGGCATATAATACAATGCATATATTCATATCAGAATATTTACCCTGATATGACCATATTAATGCAGATAGCAGTTACAGTAGTACAAACTACAGCCGTCCTTGGGCCCAGAAGAAAGATAAATAAATCTATGGGTATAAGCACATTTTTGTCCTATAACACAACCACTCTGGGGTGCCAGGAGCAGAAGAAAATGGTACTGCTTTGTTAACAATGATATAGTAAACACAGTAAAATTTTCAGGAGTAAAAAGCATTGGTACAAAACGAAATTTTCTCTTTCTTCACCAAGTGTAATAGTGTAGCTAGCAGCTGTATTCACATTGAATCCTCTGCTCAGCTCCAGATATGACCCCTTTATTGTGTGTTTCTTCTCATTATATTTTCTCCTCTACAGTTCATTCATTTTCTGGAAGGTACTGGAAAAAAACCACCTCCTTTCTTCTCACTTCAGAGGTGTCTGATGCTACTTTTCCTTTTGTGCTGATCAGCTCCAGAAACAATCCTGCAGAGCCATTGCTTGGCTTTGACTCCAGAGATCCCTCTTCCTTTTCCATGCTGTGCTTTCTGGTTTCTCTGCCTTCTTCTCTCCACACACATCTGTACTAAACCAGTCTGTTTCCTTTCCCTATCTAGTGTTATTCTGATTACATAAACATCACCTTATACTCCTTTTTTCCTTCTCAACTTTGAGGTTACTCCCCCCCATATTGTCATGAGCCAAGTGATGATTTCCTTCAGTAACTTGCTTTCTTTTCCACAGTTATTGGAAGCAGAGGCTCCCCTGTTGCACATTTCAGCCTGCTGGTTTAGAGTAGCTTAACACTTCTCTTTCCTCATTGTTATTTAATCAAAAGTCTCAGTGAGTGGTGGAAAGAAAATGGAAAGCATTTGAAATGTCTTTTTAGGCTTGACTGCTTTTCAAGACCTGCAGTTTGAAATGAGAAGCCAGACAGAGAAGAAAAAAACTGCTTCTAGAAAGTTGCTTAAAAATCAAGATGTAACAGCTTTTAGTTTTGTTCACAGTGAAGATCTTCTAAAAGATATTGGAAACTCCTGAGTTTCTTGTAAGCTTAAGGCATCATACAGAAAATGCAAACAGAAGTTTCACTGCCAAGTAGAAACCTGGAAGCACTGTATATATTAATGTTTCTTAGATAAAATGGAGTGATTGTTGCTGAAGCATGAATGTTGCTGACTTAATTTCCATAGGCAACAGCTCATGAAACCCAGTTGCATAGGAGTCTAGTTACCTTTTCTGTGTCAGAAGATACTGGAATACAAGGAGTTATCAAGTCACAGAGTTCATAGGACAGACATGGACAAGCAAAAAGCTATAGAGAAAATCTGTGGTCACTTATATGAGCCAAAATATCTAAATTTTTCAAACTATCATGTGAATGAATATGATATAAATTTTTCCTCATTTTAATGTATATGTTATATTATATTTGCATATACATTTAGGCTTCACAGTGTGTCATTTCAGAAATCACTGAATAAATTGTGGCTTGGCTAAAAAGAGTTTATTTAATATATACATTCAAGAAAACAGTGGTCACTAATGAGATGGTATTCTAGCTGATTATGTTGTGTGTGCGATTTCGATGAAACATCATGAACTATGCAGACAATGAGATTTAGTGACATTCAGAACAAGACATCAATATTGTTCTTTCATAGCATTTGAATATTTCATGTTCCACTGTCTGTATCTGAAAGAATATCTGCCTCCCATAATGGTGGGCAGGTGCCCAGGTCAGGTGCTTAACTTGTCAAAACCTCATAATTTTCTTTGAAGCCTTCTAGAAGTCGTGGAACAATTAGTTTATTTGACACAGATTAATAAAAAATTAGTGATTAATATATTATTGCCCATCTTAATGAAACAATGTCACCTCCATTACTCAAAAGAATCTCTTCTCCCAACTAAATGATATATTTAAGAGGTCAAAGAAGTAAGCAACTAACAAGTGAAATCTTTGACTAAATTGGCTTATTTAGCACTGGTAAACTATCACAGTTAAAAAAAATGAAGTGAGGTGTCTTTTATTTTAAGTGGTCTATTTTAATTAGATATTTCAAAACCAACTGCTACGGCATAGCCACAGCCAACACAACTTGTCTGCAAACATACACAGGTCAAAGCACAGGGCTCTGACTCTGGAGTGGAGTCCACTTGGCTCTCTCAGGTTGTGTACAGCTCAGTGATTTTAGGCAGCTTCTGATGCTTAAAGGAACTCCATGGGCAGCTTCACCATCTGTGCAGTGTGTGCGTGTGTGTGTCAGTCAGAGCACTCACCCTTCCAAACACAGGTTTTTGTTTGGTTGCCCAGTGAATGAAGCTCATGGTGCTGAGTCATATGGCAGGGGAATGGAGGCGGTGAAAGTGTAACAGCAGTCATCAGGGACAGCTGCCAGGGAGGGATGTTCTTAGCAGTCCTCTTCTAAGCACAGAGCAGGGACCAGAGCTGTGAACTCCCTCCCTGCTTCCCTGCCTTGCTGTTTGTCCCCTCTCTGTGAACATCTGCAGTTGATCAGGAGGTGACCAGAGGTGGTTGTTACCTTGTGGTGTTGGAGCCACAGGAGAGACAGGATGCTCTTCTGCAGGCCCTACCTGTAGATGTGCTGACTGAGGAGTATGAGCAGAGGGGACCTTTTGAAAAACGTCATTCATTAGCTGGGAGATTGCCCAAATCTGCAACTGTTACCATTTAGCTTATACAGCTTTATATATAAAGATAAACAAGACATTGGCAGTTTAGATACATACTTGGACAATTTTTAAAAGAGCTATTGTGCCCTTATTTATTCAAGTTAATCAAACAAGGAGATGAATAGGATGTTGGAAGGCAGAGGCCACTCACGTTATAAGAAAGGAAAAGCAGGAGATTTAAGTTTCTTGGTGCAGCCAAGTTAACAGTATAGCACACTGCTTGTTTATATTGGACAAGTTCGGAAAAACCAAAGGAAAAGCTCAGAGGGGTTGTATGCTTTCTGGAAATGGGGAACACAGAGAAAAATTTGCTATTAAAAAAACAGGAACTTTGTCTTTTATCTGCTTTACATCTAAAGAGATGCAAATGAGGCAATTTGCATAAAACATGTCAGGAAACTAAATGTCACTTGCTATATCAATTTCAGAGGAGTCTGGAATTGGAGTGAAATATTTAAGATAGAAAATATGTAATACTGTAGGACTGAAATAACCATAACTTAGAATAGAATAGTTTTACTATGGCACCAAAATTTATTACTTCCTGTTTAAGCCCAATGTAGATAACAAATCTTTGTCATTAAGGTCTGAAATCTGTGAATACCAACCCATCTATGTACCTAACATTAAACTCAGGAGGACTTCTGCCAGACTTTTTAATTTTCTAACTTCATTTTCAACGTGGAAGAGAGAGGTCTGGATGTAGTCAGGCAAAAGCAAATGTCTAAGGGCACACAGAGGCCAGAAAAGAAATGGCCCTGGAAAGATCTAGGGTATGATCCTGGGTTTGAGCGTCCTTTGGCTGTTACTCCCCACTGAGTTTTCATCACAGCTTATGGCAAACTGGAGACGCTGACTTAGCAGGATTTTATGGGCATGGGCAGTGTGATGTGGATGAGCTTTGCTGTATTGGGGCCCATCCAGAAAAAGACGCTGTGAGAAACAAATGCAGAAGGATGCAACCAAGGTATAAATTTGGCTTGAGTATGCTTATTACATTAACCTTGTAACTAACTGTGTCAGCTGAAAAAAATGCATTGGATACTTTTGGATAAGAAATAGCGACCTTCTCCATAGTTGTTGAAGTTTTATTGTTAACTTGATTTGTAAATCTGGTACAACTAAATTGTGAGAACCTAATATGCCATAGGATTCCACTCACTGTGTGTGGGTTGCAGGGTATTTTCAATACAAGACCCACAGATGCATGAGGCAGTCACGAGTGTTCAGTCCCTTCTAGCTGGAAATGCCCTTGAACTATGAGACTTCTGCCACTTTCATTTCAAGGCTATTTTGTATGAATGCCAACACAATTCACCTGCAGGAGCTTTTTCTTTATTTATCTTGCCCATTCCATAATACATCGAGGCAAAAGGTGGAACAAAGCATCTGGCCTATGGCATTAAATTAGAGAATAATGAGCTGAGAAGCCCAAGGAAATGTAGCCTTTGCTCTGCTTGTATCAGATTCCCTCAGTGATTTCATACTGAGCTATCTGGATCTCCATTTTTCTGCCTTTCGGATAAATATTATCTCAGTGTACCTCAGCAATATGGTACGTGGCTTAAGTTCCCCATATTTGCAAAGGTTGTTGGAGATTTGTGTGCTGATGCTGTGTAATTCAGAAGAAAGCAGAAAATCATCACTTTGTATAGCAACTTCCAGGCAGGCCATTTTCTAGAAACAATCCAATTTCTAAATAAATAGAGAAAAATAGAAAAGACAGAGAGAATAACTATGAGAAACACGCAGAATTGCTATAATACAGTGGGTTTCTGCTGAGAAAGAGAGACTTTTGAAAGATTCAGGAGCATGGCTAGAGGCCCCAGGAGATCTCACCTGCCCATCTGTGACCAAGGCTGGGGCTTGGGCGTGAACAACCTTTACTAACAGAAGCAAAACAACTTGAACTGCAAGGCTTTTAGCATATCATTACAAATTCAAATCCGGGCCTATTCTGATGGAAAATCTTCCCTAGGAATGTGAATTGTTTTGGGCAAAATAGCCGGGCTTGTTTCCTGGCAGGGATACTATTTGCATCAAAAATTAGTGTCATCCGCCCACTCAGTTTCCAGCTAAAACCCAGGCATTTCATTAGCGAAGTGAGAACAGCGATGCCTGGCTCGAGCAGCCAGGGCAAACAAACCTGCCGGCACAGCCAGGAAGGTGGGAGAGCTCTGTGCTCCTGCAGGCAGGGCCAGCACAGGCCAGGGGAGGAATGAGGAGGTCTCATTCCTGCCCGGGAGAGGGAAATATGTGGAAGGGCAAACGGCCCGGCCCTGGCAAGGGCTCTCTCCCAGGAAGGAGGCCTCGAAAGCTGTGTGCAGCGCTGTGCGAGAGCCGCGCGTGTTGACCGTGCGAGTGGAGAGCCGCGTGTGGGCGAGCTGTGCAGTTGTGTGGGAGCGCTGAGCGCAGGCGTGTAAGTGCCACGCGTGTGTCCGTGTGGGCGAACAGGCTCGTGTAAGCCGGGCACCACGATCGGCCCCATGTGCGCCCACAGCCGCCAGCGAGGGTGTGCGGGCCAGAGCCGCGTGTGGAGCCCACACGCGAGAGCAGGAGTGAGAAGTGCTGCGTGTGCACGGTGGGCAAGCACTACCCGTGCGTGTGTGCAGGCAAATGCCAGGAGTGCGTGTGCAAATAACAGGTGCGTGCGGAGGCCGCACTCTGTGTGTGTGTGTGTGTGTGTGAGTGAGTGTGAGTGTGTGTGTGAGTGAGTGTGAGTGTGTGAGTGTGTGGCTGGGGGGAGGCCCGTGCGGGGCGGCGGCCGCGCGTGTGCGCAGGGCCGCGTGCCCGCGTGTCGCCGGGCCCCCCGCGCCCGCCGCGGCGGTTGCCCGGGGCGGGGCCCGCTGACGCACTGCGGCTGCAGCGGGCGGAGGAGCCGGAGCCGCCCGCCCGGGCGGCCACTGACCGGGACCGCGACTCGGCCCGCCGGCGGCTGACTGACAGCGCTCCCCGCCCAGCGACTAGGAGGGCCGGGCCGGGAGGGAGGAGGAGGAGGAGGAGGAGGAGCGGCGCGAACCGCTCTGCACTGCCGCGGCTCGCACCTATTCATTCAGTCACCTAAAATGGCTGGAGAGAGGAGGTGGCGGAGCAGGAGGAGGAGGTGAGGGGGCAGCTGCAGCGGTGCCCCCACCTCCTCCGCGGCCCGGCAGCGCTCCCGCAAGGCTCGCGGCCGCCCCTCGCCCGCGGCACCATGTCGGGCGGCCCGGACGAGAGCTCGGTGCGGGTGGCGGTCAGGTGAGGGCCGGGGTGCGGGTGGCGGTCAGGTGAGGGCCGGGGTGCGGGTGGCGGGGGGTGACTGTGCCCGTGCCCCGGCGGCGGTGCGGGCTCCCCACCCGCTCAGTGACACCGTCGAGGCACATCTTCCCTGCAGAGAGGGGTCGCCTCGCCTTGGCTGCTCCTGCTGAGGCTCTTTTTTTCCTCGCAGCAGTGGGAAACAGCCAGAGGAGCGGGGGGGAAGGACCGCCACCATTCTGAGGTCTTTCTCACTCATTTCTCTCTAATTTTGAGCAGTGACCCTAAAAATATTCCGAGTAATTATAGCTCGGTGTTGCTAGTGCTTACTCATGGAAGCTGGGCAGCCCTTAAACTGTAGCGATGCCGTTTGCATCACGGAGCTTTGCGGGAGTGGATCCTGGCAGACTGATATTTTTAGAAGGATAAAGGCTTTCATCCCGCGGAGGCTGTGTCTAACCTCACACACTAGAGGGATGAACTCCCATAGGGCTGCTCACAATGCATAGGAATAGGTATATGTAGAAGTCTTAGTGGGAGGGGAGTTTAAATAATTTTAAAACATCAGTTAATTCAAATTACTCTTTAATCAGAGATAAAAATCTACTGTTCCTCGGAGAACTCTTGTCTCTTGTCGGTTTTCTTTGTGAAAATACTGTTTTATTGTTTGGAGAACTTCCAGATTAGCACACAGATGCCTTAATTTTCAAGATGTCTTTACATGATTCAAACATGAGGAGAAACATATATGTGTGTGTATATGTCTGTGTCTATTTATGTATATGTATGTCAATATTTGGGGCTTAATTGTGATACTGAATGTTGATTTATGTCTTTACTTTTAAAGTTTCTTTATGTTATATGCTGGCACACTTGGAATATTATACCACAAGAAATCAGACTTTAGGGGAAGGTCTGTTTCTTCCAATGGGTCTTTGGAACCATTTCATACATCTTACCTTAGGGACTTCAAGGGTTGTTTAGGAAGACCAAAGAGTGATGGTTTTGTTTTCTTTTTTTTTTTTTTTTTTTTTTTTCCCTGAAGGATGTAGAAATAAGTGATGTTACTGTGTGCTATGGTTGGTACTCGTGTGTAGGGGGAACGGTGCAATAACGCTTTCAGTAAACAGAGGAACACCGCCCCTGCATGATAACATGGGGAGTATGCTGCAGTTGGTCATTAGTCTGATTGCAGTAGCATTTTTCTATGGAGAGAGATGCTTTTGTGAGTAGTATCTGTTGAAGCATTTTTCACATGATGTACAGGGAGGTATTATTCCAAAGCATAATTAAGTTGTATTTTTAAAAAGGAAAATATGAGATAGGTGTGAACCTAAAAACAGGGTGTGTTACAGGTTTGCAGACTGCTCTGTTGTTTGAAGAAAATATTAAATAAGTTCTGAGCCAAGAGAAATAGTGATGTAGAAGTTAATTTACAAATACAGAAAGTTGTTGCAGCCTGGAATTAAAAACCTACTGGTAGAAGTATTTTTATAGTTGTGTGTGATGATTAGAAATAATATATGCCAAACAATCTGTAGAAGTGAATTAAAATCACGCAGCGTTATCAAGTAACTCTTGATAACAAATCTCTAATGTTACAAGGTGTATTTCTGCACTATAATTGTCTAACTAACAGCTTGTGTCTGAGTGCAGTTTGCTAGTAATAAAGAATTGCATCTTTCCTCCTGTCTGCTTTCTCCCTTTTGGCAGATTAACTATTCATGCACAAGATTTCTCCCTCTCTGTTTGGCAGTCATGAACAAAAGCATGCACAATTATTTTTTTTTCCCACCAGTAGCTCTTTATAGATGGTTTTATTTTTTTCTGATTGTGTATTTTGTACAGTCCTGTAATTCAACTGATTTTGCAGCTCACTATGTATTGGTGCCATGCTGTACCATGCATTATGAATATTACATTATGTTTCCTTGTTGGTTTTGTTCTTCAGTTCTTTCTGGCAACTTGAGCTTAGTTCAGTGATGATCTGCGCTGTTGTGATGAATTAGTCGTTGTGTTTTGTATGTATGTTTCCTGAGCAAGGCTTGCTCTACAGCTGGACCAGCTTTTAGTTTGCAACCCTCGTGTTTGTTAGCAAGATACTGCAAGGGTAGATTGCACTGAGTTTAGTATGAAGATGAATTTGCTTAAACTTTAAACACGGGTTATAGAATAGACATCTGAAATTAGCAAATTGTTTTTCCAGAACCTGATTATCTCACCTAATTGTATACAACAGGGTTCAAAAATACTTCATTCTTTCCAATTAGCACCACCTTTAAGCTATCATCTTGTATGCTAATTGCTCCCCATTTTCTTCAGTGTAATAATGGGTTTGTGACTGATGAGCTAAATACTCCGGTTTAGTGAAGCATGAAAGCTGAAAATAGCTTGGCAGATAATCCAGTAACTAATGTTAAATTCTCCAATTAAGAAAACATTTCTTTCTCTATTGTCACCCACCACTGAAAGACATGTGGGCTTAGTTTTGATGACAGTGTGCAACTTCAACAAAGAACTTTGCTCTCTGTGTGACTGTGTAATGTCTGCTTTCAGATACAGAGAGCCCCCACTACAGTTATCTAATCAAATGACTGTTTTCTTTCTTTTAAATGTGAAAAAATATCCTTTTTGTAAATCTAAAATAGCTGTCTTTTGCAAGTGTCTTTTCATATGAAAAGTAGCTTTTGACAAGGCTATGAAATAGTGTCAACATCATAGGAAACTGTTTCAAGTTCACAAAAGGATGTAGATTATAGTTTCTAATTCTTGACTGTCTTGCCACTTCAGTGATGTCCGCAGTGAAAATGCAGCATGTAGGCTGCTGGCATGTTGGGTAGAGGAAGTTCTCGCCTAAGATTTAGATCCCCACCAGCCAGTGGTCTGTGTCTGTTACTGAGTTTTAGAGTCCTTGTGCTACCTGAGGAAGGGACTGGATGGGTCACGGCAGTCAAAGGTGCACTTGCTTTTACCCTTTAACCAACTAGACCTGAGCTGGTTTCAGGAACTGAAATGGCTCCAACAGTTACTACCTATCCTTGCCCCATGTGGCTTGGAGCCATAGGGTTAGGATGTCCTAGGGGTGCTGATCTAAGAAGACAAGAAAGTTGGATTTTAGTCCTTTGGATACATGCTGAAAAAGGGAACTTTAGGAGAACAATAATGTTTGGATAGAGCTAACCAGAAGCCTTGCATGGAGCACTACTATCTGATAAAGCATGGAAGTATGTCTATTATGTCTTCTCCATAACAGGATCCAGATAACAATGTAGAACATTGAAGGAAACTGCCTTCTAGTCCTCCAAAGGCAAAAGATGGCCTTGATCCACTTTGAGGCAGTGGAGGTGCTGGATGTATAGATGATAAGCTTCAGTGTTGATTTGTTTGAGATGCTGTGTTAAAACAGAAGAAATAATGAAGTACAATGTGAAAAGATGAATAGCTGTGAAAGCTGACCAGTAGTCAAGAGGAGATGATTGCTTCAACATGCTTGTGTGACACCTCAGATGGAGTGGACATTAAAGGACACGAAATACTAGCTGATGAAATGAAGAGCTTTGGCATTGATTGTGTTCTTGTGAAAGATGGAGCCCAGCTGAAACTGTGTTGATGGGCAGAACACAGAACCAGGGGAGAGAGAAGTTTTAGGGGATGATGTTTTATAATCAAGTATGTTTAATTAACATCAGTAAAGAACAGTTGTGAAAGTTCCCTCTTTTCATCATCCTTGGTAGTCTCTCTCTGTGCCTTCTTCCCTACTTTAGCAAGAGTACTTCACTGCTACTGCTTCGCGTGCTTTGTGTTTCATCCCTCAAACAAGGAAAGGGAGTCTTGCTACTATCCTCACTTGGGTAGAGAGGCTCTGAGATCCAGCCACCCACTGCCTTGAATTGTCTAAAAAGTTCCCTTTTCATACGCACCCTGGGTGCCTGCCACATGTTGTGACACCGCTTCACAAAGGTGAAATGACATTTGCCAAGTGTGGAAATTATGTGTGCAAAATGTAACGGAACTACTGCTAAATTTTTTTTAACAACAGGTGCAGCTGATGAATTGAAACCACCCAGCCTCTGTTTCTGGTGTTCCAAAAGGGAGATGAAGTATGCTAGAAAAACATATTGATTACTAGTGCAATTTAGGAATGGAGGTTTTTTGCAACTAATCAAGCTGATTGTGGCAAGACATAAGGATATGACTTTTGATTAGGCAAATGGGATATGTTCATCACTTGTAACCTTAGCTTTCCACTGCAAAGCTTTGTTATGGGAATGCAGGATTTCTTTTCATACCCCCAGTTCTTGAACTGTGTGATCAGTTAGACATCTATAGTTGTTTTTTTTTTCTCCTTTGTTAGTTTCTGTGTGGTTTTTTTCTCCCCATATGGAATCTGCTGTTTGTTGTCTTGCCTCCCTCTACCTTTTCAAATTTGCGTTCTTCTTTTTAAGGATTTTCTTCTAATAGCTTTTAT